TTCTGATTTTTTATCATTTTGTGTAACATATTAATAATCTCACTATGGGACGTTTTGACTGACGGCACCCCATATATGAATACTATAAAAGGATTATAGAATGGCATTAAGTTACAGATTACTTTACAAAATTAAAATAAAAATTTATTAAAACATACTTATTTAAAATTATTTGATATAAAATAAACAAAAACAGACTCTGAAATGTATTTATTAATGCATTACATTCTACAGTATAATTTCAATCTAATAATATTATATCACGATTATTGTATGCATTAGTATATACTAAACTATAGTTTAGCTAATATTTTTATTAATTTTTTTGTTAAAACATTTGTAATTACAATTAATCCCTGTTAGTATCAATCTTATTAATATTAACCTAAGCTACAAATCAAATTTTTATAAATTTTTATATTTCAAAATTCCCTCATATATATCAACTTTAATATAATTTCTTGTTAATATCAATCCAAATAGGTTGATATAAATGAGAGTAGACTGTATTAAAAAAAAACTAGAGTAGTGCTTATATTTTGAGGATTTTCTGTTTTTCTTTGCTTCATATAGACCAACAAATTTTATTAACAGATCATTCAAATAAGGAAATTTGGAACGTCACATAGGACTGGCTTAATATAAATATATACTTAAAGAGAAAAAAAAATCCGGATTCAACCATAAAAAAATCAGTAATTATCAATAGTCAGATTTTGTAAGTCGTTATCAATGTCTGAAATTGACCCACTATACGGAATAAACTTGCTTCCGCTACTAAATGTTTCAGCATATGATTTTTCGATATTTTCAAGTTTTAATATTGAATTATTCAATTCCAACAAAATATTTCTATCCTTTTGCCACTTCATAAAAGTCTTGCAGAGTTCTTCGGCTGTTGGTCGTTTGTCAGGTTCTTTATCCCAACATTCTTTCATCAGATTTACATAACATCTTGGTGCTTCATCGTTAACAGGTGGTCGTAAATTATCGCATATTTTTAATTGAAGTTGCAGTTCACTCAATTTATGATCATAAGATACAGTCATTCCATATAAGATTTCCCACATGATTATTCCAAACGAATAAATATCAGATTTTATAGTATATTGTTGACCAATTAGAATTTCTGGAGCAATATATGGCAGAATCCCAAAAATTCCGCCTTTCTTTTGTTCAGAATTAGAATTTGATTGTCCCAGATCAGAAATATACGCGCTATATAAATCATCTTGCAAAATGTTTCCGCTGTGTAAATCTCGATGAATATATCCTTGTGAATGAATTGATTCAAGGTTAGAAATGATATAATTTAATAGTTTTAATTTATCTTTCCATTTCATCCGAAATACGTCTTGAAGGTTATTTCTTAAAGAGCCCTTTGATGCATATTTTAAGACAAGAATATATTCTTTGGAATCCGGCCGTTGTGTTATTCCATGACATTTTAGAAATGAAGGATTTTCGTATCCGATTTCACTATATGCTTTTAACTAATTAAATTAATTTGTCATATAATCAATTAGTCATATAATCAATTAGTTATATAATCAATTGAAAAGTAGAATAAAGATGAAATTACCTCATTTATAAATTCATTATAATTTATTTTGTTTAGCGATTTAAGGGCAGTTTTCGATGTTAAGAAAAAATTGTGTGACCAATCTGCACTATATACTGTAGAAAATCCACCTTTACCAATTTCTTTGATATTCTTGAATTCATGGTATGGAATCCATAATAATTGATGATATTTCTCATCGTTCAATATTTCTTTCAAATCAACATTTAAATTATTTAGCGTAAATTTGGCTTGTTCCCTATTTATATAGATGTTTAAACTTGTGTCAATTATAATATATTTATTTAACTGATACTTACATTCGATACCAATGACTAGCTAGTTGCAAATTTCTAGTTGCTCCGGATCCAAATAAATAACATAAATATACTTTACGCATTCCAGCGGCATCGCCCATCTTTGCAGATTTTATATACCATTTAAACGCTTTATTTTCATTCTTTTCAACTCCTATTCCATATTCATAACAACGCCCAACATTAAATATTCCATCAGCGTGTCTCATATCTGCAGATTTTTGATAACATTCGAATGCCTTCTTTATGTTTTTTTTAATTCCTATTCCATTTTCATAACAACGTCCGACATTATATATTCCATCAGCATGTCCTATATCTGCCAATTTTTGATAATATCTGAATGCTTCCTTTACATCTTTCTCAACTCCCATTCCATTTTCATAACAACGTCCAACATTAAATATTCCATCATCGTGTCTCATATTTGCAGACTTTTGATAATATTCGAATGCTTTCTTTATATCTTTTTCAACTTCTATGCCATTTTCATAAAAACGTCCATAATCATATGTCACATCAGCATATTTTTGATAATATTTGAATGCTTCCTTTATATCTTTTTCAACTCCTATTCCATTTTCATAACAACGTCCAACATTATATATTCCGTCAGCATGTCCTATATTTGCTGATTTTTGATAATATTCGAATGCCTTCTTTATATCTTTTTCAACTCCTATTCCATTTTCATAACAACGTCCAACATTATATATTCCAACAGCATGTCTCATATCTGCAGATTTTTGATAATATACGAATGCAAAATATTGAGATTGATAAACACCAATTCCATTTTCGTAAAAACGTCCAAGATTATATATTCCATCAGCATGCCTCATATCTGCAGATTTTTGATAATATTCGAATGCCTTCTTTATGTCTTTTTCAACTTCTATTCCATTTTCATAACAACGTCCAACATTGTATATTCCATCAGCATGTCTCATATCTGCGGATTCTAAATAATATTCGAATGCTTTCTTTATGCTTTTTTCAACTCCTATTCCATTTTCATAACATCGTCCAACATTATTTATTCCATCAGCATGTCCTATATCAGCTAATTTTTTATAATATTCGAATGCCTTCTTTATGTCTTTTACAATTCCTATTCCATTTTCATAACAACGTCCAACATCATATATTCCGTCAGCATGCCTCATATCTGCAGATTTATGATAATATTCGAATGCCTTCTTTATGTCTTTTTCAATTCCTATCCCATTTTCATAACAACGTCCAGCATTATATACTCCACCAGCATGTTTCATATTTGCAGATTTTTGATAATATTCGAATGCCTTCTCTATGTCTTTCTCAATTCCTATTCCATTTTCATAACAACGTCCAACATTATATATTCCACCCGCATGTTTCATATCTGCCGATTTTTGATAAAATTCGAACGCTTCCTCTATATCTTTTTTAACACCCATTCCGGATTGATAACAACGCATAACATTATGTATTCCATTTATATGTCCCATATCTGCAGATTTTTGATAATAGTTGAATGCTTTCTTTATATTTTTTACAACTCCTATTCCATTTTCATAACAATGCCCAACATTATACATTCCATCAGCATGCCTCATATCTGCAGATTTTTGATAATATTTGAATGCCTTTTTTATGTCTTTTTCAACTCCTATTCCATTTTCATAACAACGTCCAACATTAAATATTCCATAAGCATGCTTCATATCTGTAGATTTTTGATAATATTCAAATGCCTTCTTTATGTCTTTTTCAATTCCTATTCCATTTTCATAACAACGTCCAACATTATATATTCCATCAGCATGTCCTATATCTGTTAATTTTTGATAATATTCAAATGCTTTCTTTATGTCTTTTTCTATTCCTAGTCCATTCTCATAAAAACGGCCAACATTAAGTATTCCATCAGCAAATCCTATATCTGCAGATTTTTGATAATATTCGAATGCCTTCTTTATATCTTTTTCAATTCCTATTCCATTTTCATAACACCGTCCAACATTATATATTCCATCAGCGTGTCCTACATCTGCAAACTTTTGATAATGTTCAAACGCTGTCTTTATATCTTTTTCAACCCCTATTCCATTTTCATAACAATATCCTTCCAAAATATCATTGCTTAATTTTAACTTCTTGCAAATGTCATTGCATCTATGATTTGCCAAAAAACATTTTTGAATTCCACTCTTTCCTAAGTTTGTGTTTCCAAATCTTAGCAAATCAACACAGTGTATAGCTGGATCTGTTAACAAGAATTCATTACAGAGATCGATGCCTTGTAGGTCATAAACTACCAAATATCCCTTAGTGTATTTATATGTAAAATGAGCAAATGCCTCGAGAATGGAATGAAATTCGGTAATTAGACCACTATTTGCGTTAAACTTTTTAAACACCGCGATATTGATATATTTTTCCATAGAGTAACAGGTATTATCGGTCTCGTCGTATAAGACTCTTACATCAATAAATGTAACTTTTTTATTAACACCAACCCGCTCTGCGGCAATATTGAATTCTGTTGATAAAAAATAAGCAACATTATAAATTTCTGCTGATTCTAAATACCTTTCTATTGTACCTATTTTAATATCGTGATACTTTTTTATCACTAATTTATTGGCTTGTCCAAGGCTTGTGTCAAGTGCAAAATGTGCATATCGTTCAGCACCAACAGAGAATGGTTGCGGTGCAAGCTTAAAAGATATGCTTTTTTCAATAAAGTTTGAATTTATAAAATAATATTCATCTTTAACTTCAGCCAAAGTTTTAGGTGGAATATGACATAAGATTTTTCCTGTTTTCTCTGGTTGAGTAGCCCAATCAGGTTCGCGCGGATTGATTTGAAGTTTTTTTCGTTGCAAAGAGCAAATGCTTTTCGAGCTTCTTAAAGTTGTAGTTAGTGTAATAGAAGAAAAGATGGCTGAGGAAGTAGCCTTGCAAAATTTATTGACCAATACCTCAGGATTATTTTCTGTAGTCATAAGATCAAATATAGGAAATTCTCCAATTATTTCTCGAAATACATTAATCATAACATCGGTAGAATCATTGATTTTTCCAAAATGGTATAAAATCTTTTTTAATTGCATTTTCTTTAGTATATTTTCAGCAGTTAGACCATCCGGGTCACCATCTGGATATCTATCAGCTAAGTTAGTAAAACGACGACCATGTGGTGGTGCATCGCCGATATGAATAATAATGCGAGTGGCATAGCTCCATGTCATCTCAGTTATTGCGGCATTAAGACCACCTAAAACATCTTCCGGGTTATCATCGTTAGGTATAGCCATCACTTTATTGGTTAAATACGTTTTAAATTTCTCGAGTGAGTTAGTAAAATCAAAAATTTGTAAGCGATCACTATGATTATAATAATCACGATAACCACAGAAACCAACCCATAATTTGATATTTGAATTATTGCTGTTTACATAACTAGCCACTTTTAATATATGCTCTTTCGCTGCTTTGATATAAGGAAACATAGAGCTTGTACAGTCCAGAACGAAGCAAATATCAAGGTTCATTGAATTTTCAATATTAATAATTGCTTTTGACGCATCATTTTCTCGGTTTTTTCGTAAATGTGAAACTCTGTCTATTAATGTTGATGTACTACTAATTTGGCCTGCCTCATCTTCGTAACGCCT